TGGGAAGGAACGTTCCGGACACCCGGCCACACCCTGAGTGAACGGATGCGCCCTAGCCACCCCACCATCGAACGAGCCACACCTCCGAGTTGCCCGGCGGTGGTGACTTGGTGTACGGTCAGCCCCAAACGAAAAACTCCTCTTTTTCCTGGCTTTCATGGACTTATTATTGCCCTTTCCACGGCCCCCTGTCCTTCCACCTTTGGACGGAGGCTCAAGTGTGGAGACTTTAGGGCGAATGAGAAAGTTGTTGTAAACAGTCAGAAATGGCTTGAGACGGGAGTCGGTTCTTGGAACCTTGAGTTGTGCAAGTACGGCAAGACCTTCATTAAGGTATATGCGGGCACTCTTTTGGGTGTGCCACCTCCCTTGAAGGAGGATTCTGTCGAGGTTCTGGTGCCTCTGAAACCAATATGTCGCTCCACCGCGACGAAGCGAATAAGGGCGAAAGCCCAAGTCAGCAATCCCCAAACCGGTGAGGCAAGCATTAAACAAGGCTCGCCATTTGGCTGGTGTGGGGTTAAAGGGGTGGAGGGAGAAGCAAAGGCCTTCCAGGCACGCAAAAACTTGACTACGGGCTCGTAGCCCAAGACGACGCTCTCAGCAGCGCCATGTCTTTTGCCTCCTTTCGTGAGGCCCAACGAAATGAGGGCCTGCAGTTGGCCATCTCCACACTGCATGTGAGAGGATTTCAGCCCCAAAATTTCTCCTGTACGCAGCATAGAGTAGAAACCAATTAAAAGGGAGAGCGCAAAGGAGGTCCATTGGTTAAATAGGGCCCACCCAGCCATAGCCCAGACAATGTGCTCTGGGAGCGGAGGCGCACGAGATGGAATCTCATTGGCCTGCCAAGTGCGCAGGAGCCGCCAGGCTCCCGGCAAGTGATGACGAAGAGTGTCACAGGCCTGAGCTCGACCCTTGCCAGTGGACCAAAGAACTTCCAAATAATCACACAAACTATGGGATCCATCTTGCCACGACTGGTTGGAATGTCCAAGCCCTCATGCCTCATGAAGCCAAAGAACTCCTGGAGTGCTTTGTCATATCGATTGCGCGTGCTAGGCTGCACTGTTAGTTCCCTCAAAGTTCCTAATCCTCTTCTCACTTTCCCACGCTCTGCTGGGGTGGCTGCTTCCAAAACCCGCTTAGGCATTTCGGAACTTGGTCTTCACCCGCCTCCCCCAACGTGAGGGTTTATCGGCGGGGTTGCTATCTGTAGCCACGTATGCCCAGATCATCTGGGCATTGCCACACAGCAGACGCGTTGATTCGTGAAATAGTGGATCGTAACTTTCGGGAACTGGTTCGCCCCCTTGTGAGGGCGTGCAAACACACCAAGCTATCCGTGAGATGAATCATTCGACAGTTCAAATGCTGTTGATGCTCAAGTCGCCAACGCAACGCATTGAGAATGGCTCGCATTTCCAAACAATTGATATGCTCCTTTCCTCGGGTCCAATGCCAGCCACTGACGACCTTCCGACGCCACAGGGACGCGGGGACTGAAGCACGCAACCGATGGTATCGCATCAATTGTGTAGATGGAGTCGTGAGCAGAATGTCCTCACCCTTCAGGCTGATGAGGTTACCAAGCTTTCGGGCCAAGCTCAACTCCGAACCAAACGTACCTCGAGGAAGTCGAAGCGGAAGTCGCATCAGACGCGATTGCATGGAAGCCGCTGCGCCTGGCTTGCACCGGTCGAGGATGGCTTGGGGGTCCAGTGCAGGGGCCAAACCAAGAAGATGTAGCAGCTGATTGAGGAGCCAAGCCACCACAGGAACACTCCAACTGTTACCAACCAATGTAAGCCGAACATCAGAAGTGGCCCCACACTTCCGCTCGGCCTTAGGCGCGCAATTGGAAGTATAGTTGAGTGGAAAACCCATCATCAGCTCTCGTTCTTGGACAGAGGGCACACGATGTTCACCTTTCTTGTTAACCACTGCATGTGGACATCCTGATATTGGTAAGGCGGGAAGCGGTGTTGATCAGCATGCCACCTGGCAATCTCATGGTCCCTACACTGCACCAGACCAGCAGGCTTGCGTCCAGGTCTCACTGAGGGCCTCGAAGTGGTAAAGGAAGTGCGACCTTATCCCACCCCGGGGTGATCACCTCGCGGATGTCCTGCTCTGCTGTCAGATGCCAGGAGCACGGGTTGCCTCCCGAGGTACTGCGTGCGCCGTGACCCTCACAGAGCTCCCTTAAGTGGTCCAATACAGCCGCGGCCTATGGCACCAGGTCATACTCCCAGCATCAATGACAACTGGATCACCTCCAAAGCTGGCGCTCATGACGTCCCTGTCCTGAGCATCCATAGAGCTGACATTCTCCATGAGCACACGCACAGGTGCCCAAACCAAATGCCTGCGAAGCTCATCCCTAATGCGCGCAACGTGTACAAACAAGCAAGAACGCTCGTCATTCAGTGCCCCACGCCTGTCAGCGTTGAGCCCCGAGACACCTTGGCAAGGTGGGCCGGCGTGAAGAATGACTACCGCCGCCTGCGAGTAGCGCAAAGACCAGGACCGTACTAGCTCCGGCGTCACCATGGTCACATCATCAACATGCTCGACGCCAGGGTAATGGGACTCAACCACCCGCCTGGCTGCGGGGTTGCATTCCACCGATTCCACCGACACGTACCCAAGGACTGCCGTGTCTTGCAGGTCCATAGCTACACGCAAGGCTCCGATGCCATCGAAGAGCCCCACCAAGAGCACCGCATGCTCCGAACAGGGGCAGGGCAACCGCCCCCGCAGCTCTCCTTTGGCCGCCAGGCGACCCACTGCGGTGAGCCCTTGAGAACAGCACACACCCCCTCCTGTAGTTGAGGCGTCGCTGCAAGTGACCATCTTGTCCAAGTCCAACCGGAAGTTCATGCGGATCAAGGGCAGCAATCCGAGGAACCTCAACACCTCCAGCCTGCATTCCTCAGGCATTCGCCTATATTAACGCTCCTCCCGATTGAACCCCTCAATGAACTGCCACACTGCGTTGAGGCAACCAAGTGAAGGTCGGCGGAACATAGCAAAGTAAACCAGTCCTCCACAGACAACCTGCATCTGCTTCTGACTGACCACTGGTTGTTGCACAAGCTTGAGGGCCATGCAGTAGTATTTGCTCAACTTCGCCTCCTTTGGGAAAGCCACACCGATTTCGCCATCAACGGTGGCCCCTTGCAACTCGCAGTGCGCTGAGCGTTGCACCGACTTCTTCTCATTTCTTGGCACCTGCCACTTGACATACTCTCCCCTCAATGCCAGGGCACGGTGTGACACCGTACCCTCCACCTCGCTCATCCCCGTAGCACGCACCTTCTCCAGCAAGTCATAGTTATCAAGATACACGCGCCATGCCGGGTCAGCGACCGTGAAAGGCCGGTCCTTACGTAGTTCGGCCTCATCTGAATGAGCAACTTCCCCCTCATACTGTGACCATCTGACAAGGTTCCGGTGCACGTTTTGGGCAATGCTCACAGAGTTCAAAATACTCCATAGGCAAAACCTTCGAGGCCAAGTAGATCGAACGTCCCTTCATGTGCTGGGGTAAGCACACGTCCGGTACCAACTTGTTAAAGGCAAGGTACTTGACCCACTCACTTGGAACCCTCATGGTATAGAAAAAACACTTCACATCTTCAGACGAGACGAGAAGGTTCTCCCCAGGTTGAAGGAAAAACGGGTTCATCATGCCCCAAGATGGTAAAGAGTCGACATCGCCAGAAAGAGGTTCACAGATTGCGTTGAGCGGGATGAGGTTCATGATGAGCCTACAGACCTCAATGCCTTCGGGGGGTCCACTCCTCCTTTGAAACCCCAAATAACCCGTTAAGCAGAAGTGCCTTGCCAGTGTGGAACACCATCTCCTCCTCAATGAGTGTGCAGACGCCAGCTTCCACAAGACCTGACACCAGCTGGGGCCAATCAGAGTCATCTACCATCACCTTGGGTTGAGTGATCTCCCCCCACTGCTCCAGGAAGCTATCGGATACACATACTCTCTGCACCCCAACGTGCAGACCTCTTCAAGGGGAACCACTCCAATTTCCTAGGGAGCGCAGGTGCAATGTTGGGCCATCCGACCCTCTCTGCAACCCGGACCTCATCACCCTTAGTCCACTCCCCGAATTGAAAAGAAGTGTTTCCAGTCAACGCCAACCATCTTCAACTCCAGTTGACAAAAAAGCTCCACGTCATCTCTAATGTGTCCCAAGGCCTTGCACTGAACCTCTGTGGGCTGCCTATCTGCGAGCAGTGATCCTCCCCAAACCGAGTTCAGCGACAAGCAAACAGCCAAAATCCACGTAACAACAACGCTTGAGGTATTTCGGGCCATAGGCGCAAAAGAACGTCCCTGGAGGTAGGTAGGGGCAACAAGGCGGAAGTTGATTCCCTACCCGTGAGCTTGCTGCGAAGTGGTAGAACCTCCAAAAGCTTTTGCGCCAAAAATGAACCCGAACTCGAAATCGATTGGTCCGAAAATTCAACGCCAGGCGACCCTTTTTCCGCGTGCGGTCTGTGCTCAGCGGATGCAACACCCCCCACCCAGGAACCTTCAAAGGCCGGTGGCTGGGGTGGAAACTCATTGGAAAAACCGATGGCCGACTTGACCACCTCATCGGCCTGGAGCGTTACACCCCGGGCCGGCTGTGCTAGGTATCCATGAGACAACTCTTCAGGCACCAGACCATAGTGGCTAGTGGCCACCTCAGTGCCATTCGAACCCCTCACGGATTCACTCTCATCATATAGTCCTGCTCCCGATCCCAGGAGCCCATCACTTGGCCGCATCCTCCACTTTCTTGTAGTCCTTCCCTTTCTTGCCCGATCCTTTGTTCTTGCCCTTCTCGCGGTCGGCTCTCCACTCCTGGTAGGGCTGCTCCTTCGACTTGCCCGTTCCTTTCGACTTCCCGCGCCCATCCGGCTGGGATGCCAGATACTTGGAGCGAGCGTCGATGGCCGCAGCTTTTTGCGCGCTCATGATCTCCTCTCTGGGTGCAATCAATTGCCTGTCCAAGGGCGGTATCTCGAGGCGTTGCGAGACAGACGAGTGGGAACCTGCAATGGTCGCCTCCACCGACTTCACCCTCTGCAACATGCAATCCACTGCCTGTGCCACTCTTCCGCGAAGTAGGAGGTCGACCGAGCTGCAGAGTGTATATATAATCAGTTCTCGACTGACAGGGCCGCTCGTCTTTCTCTGCAGCTCCTGACGAAAGTATTTGATCGCCGTGGGACCTAGGGCATTCGACTGTTCGTCGATCCCTGAACTCTCCAACAACACGCGCCTCATTGAAGCTAACGACCGGGCCGCTAGGGCCCAGGGCAGCCCTCCGCAACCTTCTGGATCTTGGTCTCGCTGTCGAAGAAGTTCTCCTCCTGCGTGAAGTCGACATCTTCGTCTCGGCTCTTCGAGGAGCTCCCACTGGAGCTCCCGCTCTTTCCACCCTTCTTGCGATGTATCAGCTTCTTGGCCCTGCGACCCACTCTGCGACGGACCTTCTCTTTCAAGTCCAGGCCTGTCCCAGCAAAGAGCATCTGAACCGACTTGACAGAGGCCCCACGGGGCCTCCGGCCATCCACCCGCACGACAGAGCTGGTGCTGGTGCTGCTGACCTGCTCCGCAATGGCTCCCTGGATTTTTTGGACCTCTTCTTCCTCTTGCTGCTCCTTCCTCTCTTGTCCTCCTTCTTGCGATCTCTTGACCTTTTGCGAGGTTCCTTCACTGCCGGGCGAGCACCTCCTTCTGCCTCGTCGTACTCCTTCTTCTTCTCCCTCAAGCCTGCCAACTCGTCGCCATCGTGGCGTTCGGTCTCTACCAGATTCCTCGTCCAGGGATCCTCTGCCTCGGGACCTTTGCCCAACCGAAGCCTCCGGCCGTGCACTAGGTCCTCTGCCACGCGATCTGCTGCACAGTCCCCGGGGCAAAGGTGCACTCGGACGTGGTCTTTGGGATGACCAGTACAATGTCGTAGGAGAGCTTCGGAATCGGTGCCCGTCGCTCGAACTAGCACGTGGGTTGCATCCCTCTCCAAATCCAGGCCTTGGGCCGTGCACGCCAGTCGAACAGGGGCGCCGAAGTAGCTCCCCTCCTCGATCACTAGATCCACACCTTTGACGAGCTCGCTCACGGGAACCTCCTCGGCCTTGATTGCATGTCCTCCTCGCCATAGCTCCCGCAGCCCAAGAGCTCCGTCGCCTAAGGGGGCTGCGGCTGGTCTCCTCAATGCTGCCACGAGCCGAACTCGCATAGCCCCCAACCTTCTCACAGGTCCTGCCTTGGCCTTCGCTAGGCCCTTGGCTTTCGCCTTCGCCTTCACCTTGGCTTTTGGAGCCATGGCGCTTACCGTCTCTGGTAGGGCCAATAACGGCCCCTCTCACGATGCTTGATCCCCTTCGCGCCTCGCTTCCGTTGCGGTGCTCGTTCAAGGGGTTGCGACTGGCCACGCCAGTACCTCTGTTGCCCACGTCCCTCGCGGCGAACTCCACGATCGGGAGGTGGATGGTCTGGGCTTCTCGGGCGCTTGGGCGCCGCTAGCGGTGGTGGAAGGTAATGCCTGAAGTGATGTGCCACGCTCCCCTTGGGAGCTGGTCTCAACTCAAACTGCCTGGGCCGGTCGGCCACTAACTGATCCTTCTCCTCGGTGGGAACAGTTGGGTCCTGCAAGTCAGTACCAGTGCTCCCAGCACCGGGCTCCTCCTCAACTGTGTTGCCCTGCAATCTCCTCTTCTTCTTGTCACGCTTAGTGGATGTACCGCTCTTGTGCCTCTTCCTCCTCTTCTTCTTCTTTTCTCCTTCTATCCCTTCTTCTCTGAGGTCGTGAACCTCGGCCTTCACCAACTCAACAGGGTCCTTCTCTTCGGTGTGCTCTTCCTTGGCGCGAACTCCGAAGTCACCAGGTCACCAGGTGGTCGATCAGGTTCCGGTTTGCTCTCCTTGTCGTCCTTCGGCGTCCCGGGTCCAGAACTTGAGGGTGCGGATCGCTCACCTTCTTTCTCTGGCCTTTCGAACCCTGGCGGATTCGATTCCACACGCTCCCTCTTCAGGAGCGGGATTGCTATCTCAGACAAATCCTCGATGGCTCCGCACGCCGACCTCAAGATCTGTACCACCGCCTCTTCTTGAGCTCGAAGGAAGGCACCTGTCCTGAACAAGTTCTGCACACGACACAAGGTGCGGCAACCACTGCAAGTCGTAGGTTTCCCGGCCCAAAAGTGACAGCCAGTGCAAGACATGCACCGAGATCACCAGCTTAAGCCGAAACACTACGGGACAAAACACCTCAGCGTGCATCTTAAAAACCGGGGGCGTTTGTACATATACACATAATCCGGGTGTGAATTTCAGGTAGGAGCTGGGGACCAGATTTGTAGATACTTAATTACGAACTATAGAACCCTACACAATATGCCTGGATAAGTGGCCACTCTATAAAATCTGGTGGCACAGGTCCACCTGGGACAAGTTTCCCATTTGTATGTTTAGATTTTGTAGTACTATACAGAAACCAAGCATCATACAGGAAAACCAAGCATCATACAGAAAAAGTTGATGTCGTGTCACCTCGGCAGGACTAGTTTTATAGAGAAAAGACTTAGATGAAGAAAGTTAATATACGATTGGTATCCGGGCTTGCATGGACCTGAGCTTGCATCCAATTTACTTTCCGGATTTATCCGTCATCCGACGTTGGATTATAATCCCGGATTATGTAGTGTTACCAAGATAAGGAAATACATTGACAAACATTAAAAATCGGTACCTCACAGTCACTCCTGATTAATTTAGCTAAGGCAGCCAGTATTAAATTTCAGCGGCTATCTTCTGTTTTCTATAGAATCTAGTTCCATCTAGTTCCTGTCTTTTGTGACCAGTATTTCTTCTATTTGTCCTTTGTAGAATTCATGTTCCAGCTCTTTTCAAGCAAGTCTCTTTCTTTAGATTCCGTTCCCAGGTTGTAAGGGCAAAACTGATTTCTCTACAAATTATGTTCCCAGGTTGCAGAAGTGTTTTCTATAAAATCCCTGAACACACCACTGGCCTATGCCAAAAAGTGATGTGTGATTAGTTTTTTTAAAGCTTTGCATTTTATAGTCAAGACCCCTTTTCTCGACAGAATCCTTCGGCCTCCTGACTTTATGGAGGGTATTTCGACGGGGATTGAATGCACATATATAACAACAAAGGTAGTAGTGGTGGCAGTAAAGTAGTAGTAGTCGTCGTCGTAGTAGTAGTCGGAGTAGTAGTAGTAATAATAATAATATATAATAATAATAGTAGTAGTAGTGGTAGTAGTAGTAGTAGTGGTAGTGGTATATAGTAGAAGTAGTAGTACCAGTACCAGTACCAGTACCAGTAGTAGCAGTAGTAGTAGTAGTAGTTGTTGTTGTTGTTGTGGTCGTCGTCGTCGTGGTATGTATTATTGTCGTCGTAGTAGTAATATCCGCCTTCTTTATATAGTGTCCAAAAAGCCTCGTGCCCACCATCTCCAAAAATTCACTCCCAGCACCGCCTGCGCTGTGGCCTCGTCTTCCAACAGCCTTCCGAGCTCTACAGGTGCCGACTTTACCTCAGCTGGTAGAAACAAATGGGCACTAAAAACCAGGGTAACGAATGAAATCGCATGAGGCACAATGCTTCTGGCAAAGCACGGAAAAACTCATATGACTAAAAGCTAATCCAATTAACGTCCATAGTTAACAGTTAACAACATAAACATCCATGAATTGACATCAGTGAGGCAAGCAAACTCCTCACAACTCCGTGTTCTGTTGGCCTTGCTTCGCTTCTGGAGCTTCTGCCGCTGTTTCTGCAACTCCTGACGCACTTCACCCTCAGCGAACATGCGCAGGAAGCATGATGCGTGAAACGCAGCCTCAAAGGTGCAATAAAAGAATCATCTGTTGGGGCTTCAACGGGGTCTTTTAATAACAAGGGCAAAACAGGAAAGAGAAAAATAAAATAGAGTAGAGGATAAAAAACAAAGAAAAAAGGAAAAGAAAAGCAGGAAGGCGGAGAAGGGATTTCTGGAGGGGGAGAGACGCATCTATTGTAGAAAAAACCCACACCATCCACGGCTCCTCTTGAAAGGCCGCCTGGCGCCTAGCTGCTTCAGCCAATGCAGCCTGGCGCTCCAGGTCAGAGCTAAACACCTCAGCGATTAAGGGATGACGATGATCAACGGCCCTGCGGTAAGTTCCGCTGCCAGGTAGCAAGGGTTGAGCGCTATAAAAATAGCAACAATAATGCGCATCAAATATAACTTTTGAATGCACTGAAATTCAGTCAATTCCTGACTGGTGCTTTGCTTCTCTTCTTGTTAAGTGGCGGCTCCTAACATCTCTTAACAATGAAAATGCTCTAAGGGTGTGGATCAGTTGTGCTAATCCTTGAAGATGCAAGGCCGCCGCAGCCACTGACTGCATCATGCACCCTTAGCATCCTTTTGCCGCGCCTTCATGGTATGCGTTGCATTGGTCTCAGCCAGTGCCGCCTGCACCTCCTGAAGTTGTTCAGGAAACTGGCGCCCAATTTCCGCATCATAGATGACTTTCGGATTTCTCCACTAGCTAGCCAGTGTCAAGATTTGAACTCCTGGAATCGTCCATGAGGGCCACTGAATCACTGGCGGCCGTTACAGTATCGGTCCTCTGCTGCTGTCCCAGCATCAGCTCGAAACTCATTCCAAACATCTTCAAGCATGCCACAAGCCTCAGCATGGGATAAGCCAGTAATTAAAAAACATATACTGTATGTATACTTGCGAACCTTGTCTGAGGAAAAAAAGGTTTTAGGTATGTCAACTGTACAATACATGATGCTCATGATGCTATGTATCAAGGTCATGACCTACTAGCGATGGGCCCCAACCAATGATCTCCAACCTAATAGCGTTGGCATCCAACTCCTCCCAGTCTTTGGAGACCAGCCCTCCGGGCCCTATAGGCAAAAACATCGTCGGAGACCTGCCAAAAAAATTGTGGACAGTTTTCGAAACATTGAAGGAGCTCAAACTATTTTTCTTTAGAAATTGTGTCTTTTCTAAACTGATTGGTTAAATTGATCGCCTTCTGGGACTGGCATGAATTAGCAAACCATGAAGACGCAAACTCTTTCCAAAATCAAGCGCCAAGCTTAAAGCCCCAATGCAATCATAGGACCTGACAGGTTTTAGCTTAAAAGATCCGCGGTTCGCCAACCTTCAATTGAACCTACACACGTTCCTGCCTAAATTTGGCGCGTTAAGCCGTTAAGCGACCTTTTATATGTCCGTGAGTGTGTGTGTGTGAGACTGTGTGTAACCCTTGGAGTCATAGGGAGCCTGTTGGCTTTGAATGTCAAGCAGGGGGCAACCCCACTTTGCAGTCAGTTGAAATCTGGAAAGAACGCTTTCCAGACGTACCTGCTGTCTTACCTTCACTTCCTCATGGGCCCTGGTGGCAACATTTTACTGGCCGCATCCGCTATGCATTCTGCAGACATGTGCTCATCGACCCCTCCGGCTCGTGGAACTTGATTCTAGAACTTACTTCTGAAGTCTTCGAGGTGGTTGGACCACATTGCATAGTACAGTACACGTTTTACGCAGGATTATTTTCAAGACTTAGGCTTCTTCTAAGCATTTGGCGGCCTTGGTACGAAATCTTATCCTGAGTGCGTGTGAAAAGTTTGGAACCATAGGGGGCCTTGCCTTGCGATCTTTTTAGGAGGGGGCAACGGCCAGTCCTCCCACGTTGCCCAACGAAGCTACGAAAGACTGGTGGAAGCATTCAGGGACGCCTGAATGTGCACCTGCATTTGCATGCTAAAGCCTACTTCCTCATGGTCCCTGGTTTAACTAGAACAAGTTCGCCATCCTTTGCATCGGCTATGCTTTCTGCAGTCACGCAATCGTCGCTCGAGCCATTCGAGCCTTTGGAACTTTGAGACATTTTGAGACTTTGCATCTCGAGATGTTGCTTCTCTTGGTTGGTCGCCTCTTCACTTGACTTTTACCTTTCAGGTTTCATGCTCCCTGGACATGTGTTTTACTTAGGCTCGCGTGTGGCGAACCGCAACTCAGTACCGCACGCATTTCCCAAGTGTGTGTGTGTGTGTCTACACCTGTACCAAAAAACACCGACCAGTGGAAGATAATTCGTTTTACCTCACTGAGATTTTCAATTTCCATTTAACAGGCAGGGGGCACGGCGGCCGTTCACGTAGCCGTGCTAACAAAGCTATGGTGTTCGGCTGGAAGAGATACTGGACGCAGTATCTTGTACCTGCAAGTTATTAATAGTAGTCACACTCAATTTCACCTTTGTTAAACAGTTCTGTTGAACCGACCCAGCACTCCTACAGTTCCTGCGAGTCAAGGTCTAGTTCCTGCAGCGGGCAACGTAGTCACTAGAGTGGGCTACCTTCACTGACTCAGCTCTTGCGAGCATCAATCTAAGCGCGTGTCGCCACAGAGTCCCACTGAGGGCTGTGGTGTGATCCCCATCGAGGGGCGCAGCATTTGCACAGACCCATTTTGGGGGGATTCTCACTGACTTTCTTTCGTCCCTCTCACGTGAAGTTCATTCTGATTACCACTGGCTCGTTTTGTTCTGCTTGAGATTGCTGATTGAATGCCGCAGGGCCCACTGAGATCGATTGCCGCAGGGCCCACTGGAAGAATCCTCCATGCCGCTAAGTATTCACATGTCATTTGGAAAAAAAGGATGCGTAGAGCTACATCGACGAGATCTCCCACTGTTCCTCCCTTCGAGGTCGTCGCCATGAACTAACCGTGGCTTTTCCTCTCAAACCTGCAGCGTCGACTTTCCAGCCACACACCACAAACAGATCTCCCTCCTCTCCTCTCACCTCTCCGCTCTCCTTTCTCCTCCTCCTTGACTTTCCCCACCTCCACCTTTGCCAACACCATCGCCACCACAGTTTGGCCCTTTCCCACACCATGACCCACCCAACATGCAGGACAGCCCCAATTTTCTCCCAATCCTTCTCCTGATCTCCCTTGAGCGCCGACTTTCGGCTTTGACACCGACCAGTGCAAGATAATTCGCTTTACCTCACTCAGATTTTCTATGTCCATTTAACAGGCAGGGGGCAGGGCGGCCGTTCACGTAGCCGTGCTAACAAAGCTATGGTGTTCGGCTGGAAGAGATACTGGACGCAGTATCTTGTACCTGCAAATTATTAATAGTAGTCACACTCAATTTCACCTTTGTTAAACAGTTCTGTTGAACCGACCCAGCACTCTTACAGTTCCTGCGAGTCAAGTTCTAGTTCCTGCAGCGGTAACGTAATCACCGGAGTGGGCTGCCTTCACTGACTCAGCTCTTGCTAGCATCAAACCTAAGTGTGTGTGTGTGTGTGTGTGTTCGTGACACGATCGATTAATCCAGGATTCAAGGCCAAGGCTGTAAGATCTTGCAGCCAAGCCGAGCTGCTCCATCCCAGTCTTTGCCACCTCTGATGTTCCACAAAGCTTGCAAAGAGCATAGCTCTGCCTCTGCCTGGCAAATCACCAGACAGTTTGCACAGGCCAGGTGGGTCCCCTATGCGATGGCAACAGCCCCCAGAAGCCTATCTGCATGTTGGGTGGAAGCACCCACAGTTCCAATGGCTTCACCATGCTTCAGCAAGGACTGTGACATTCTCATGGTTTGAGGCCCCACATGGCCTTTCTGTGCAACTCTGCCAAATCATCCCTCTGCTGCATCAAGTCGGCCATGGCCAGCAGGGGCCTTTGGAGTGGCGGCCAATTGAAATGTTTGGGCTAGCGCAGTGGTTCCAGCACCTCTAGTAGGCGAGCCT